CAAAGTGCTGCTTCGGAGATCTTCCCGTGAGCTCGGAGTATGGCGCGAGTGGAGCGCCAATGAGGACCAAGTCCAGTGATGATGGCTGTGACGAAGGCTTCTTCAGATATCGACCCTCCGCATCGAAGGAGTTTGTCGCGCAGTTCGCGACAGCGGCTGATATACGCCATTCCTTTTTCGCCCGGTTTCATCTCGACTGTTGTCAGTTGCGCCATCAACCGACTCTGATTTACGCTGTCTGTTGCTTGATACAGGCTCTTCAAGTGGCTGTATGCGAGTTCGGCGGAGTTGCCGTATCCCCGGTAAGACCGTATGTTCTGCTGCTGATTCGGAGTGATGTTCCTCAGTAGAACCGTGTACGCCATCATTGACTGATAGGTGTACTGCTGCTTGTCGTATTGTGTGCCATTTGTTGGATATGGCAGGGATCCGTCAAAGAAGCCGAGAATCTGCGCGCCTTCCATCATTAATTCGAACTCGAACGACCAGGTAAAGAAGTCCTTTCCGTCGAAAGGTCTTGACGTCTGCAGTTTTAAGACGTGTGCGAACTGCGACTGAACTTGAAGTGCGTCCAGTGTCTTCTCTTGTCCAGGTACAGGCTGCGGTTGTGGCATAAAGCTGACGGAGCCGCGCTGGGGCTCGTACGGAGCAAAGGTAGGTTGCTGCTGTTGATTTCCTCGTGCGTAGGATGAACCATCAAGGCTCATTGGAGTCACGTCGTTGTTGTTGTTGCTGTTGTTCGACTGCGCAGGTGCCGACTGTTGGTGTTGCTCGTAGAAGGACATGAAGGAGAAAAACTTCTCCATCATGCTCTGATCGAAGCCTGCAGGTTGATTCGCAGGAGTCTCGGTAGAAGTTGCTCTTGGTCTTGTTGCCGTGCCCTCCTCTGTCTGCAGGCCAGAGGCAGGAGGTGGAGTAGGAGTAGTACCCTGGGAGCCGTTAGAGGAGCTCCTTTCCTTTTGTGTTGCCATGCCTTCTGACGTTATGGATAACTTGATAGTAGTTGAGTTCCCCCTGTTAGCTCTCATACCATGTTGGGCTGAGAAAAGCCCTTAGGATCTTTGCAGGAGTGAACTCTGGGTAGGACTTGTTGTAATTAGCGGAAGCTTAATGAGAAGTGTTTGAACCACCTTGCGCTAGTATGTGAGGGCAAAGTAGATTGATTAAAGCAAAGAGATACAAGATTATATAAGAGTACAAGGAATACGAAGAGACACGGTTATAACTACTTTACTGTTGCTGTTGCGGTTCGATACAGTGACGACTCGGGCAACTGCTCTGTAGCGAGTCAGTTGTGTGTCCTTGCTGTCGCGCTGTATTTGTCAGGTCAAAGGTCGCTGACCTTTGACTTTCGCGTAACCTCCAGCGGTTTACTTCAACCTCCGAGGGTTGACTCGCTGGTGCCTCGATATGCTTTGCTTCGCTTGTGTCTTGGTGTTTCGACACGACAGAGGCGCTTAAGACTGATTGTTTCCAACATAGGGAGTGCGCCCCACAGGTTTGGGGCAACTTTTCAAATTTCAAAAGATTTTGAACCCCTCCTTTCAAATGTATACCGGAGCTTTAAGCCAACAAAATGTTTAATAGCCAGGACATTGACCTGGCGGACATGACAGCTTTCCTGCCATGACACTTGCAGTTGAAGATCTGGCAAATAGTTGGGCTTGAAACAATATACCGTATCACCCCGGATATAAGCGTCGTCCGTTTAAGGGCGCCGGCGCTTCTATCTGGAGCCATGCGCTTATGGCGGCAGTTCGATTAGAAGCGCACCCCTTGAGAATCCTGTACTTATTATAAGCGCCACCCCCTTTAGTTATGTAGTCTTTTTTCTTGCATTTTATATAATCTCTTCGACAAACATTCTACTGTCACAGTCAATCTACTCAATCTAACATTCAGATGATTGAATCTCGCTTTTTAGATGGTAGCAACAAGTCTAGCTCCTGCCAGCATGAACCTACCGGTACAACTCTAGCATTTCTACCGTTAGCACTACTCCTCTTCGTCTGACTCTGGCTCCGGGCAGTTGTTGCCCCAGAATCCGTCGGCAATGATGTCGTCGTCTACGTCCACCTCGTGCGACAGCTGGCCCCTTCTGTGCGCCATGGCGAGCCTGTCCTCGCTCAGTCTAGCGCGTTGCTAATCCCGCATGTGAGGAACGCCTTCTTGATCAGATCTGCGGGGACTGCCCTCCATGCCCGGGAGATCCACCTGAGGACCACCTCTGCAGGCGGCTTTTCGAGGTTCCCTGCACCACATGACGATCAGAGGGGAGATTAGCGCAACAAAGAGACGGGAAGAATTTGACTCGTGTGGACGTAAAAATTCGGCCCATACCTGCTTTTGTCAGCCTTTCCAAGCCTTCCTCCTCAAACCAGGTCTGGTACTGCTCGCGGACGGAGGCCTTGAAACTTTTGTTGACCGACACGTCGAGAGGTTGTACCTCTGATGTACAGCCTGCCGGGATGACCGCGGGGACGATGTTGAGCTCCGCAAGCTTCGCCTTCACCTCGTCCGTGAGATGCCCGCGGTACGAATCCAGAACGAGCATCGCGCTCTTCGCCTGCCTGCCGAACCGGGGCCTTATGAAAGGCTTGATACACCCGTCAAGCCACGCCAGAACGCCGTCGGCGTCCATCCAGCCGTTGTCTTGGCACCCCACCACCACATCTGCGCACGCAACAAAGGGTCCAAGTTAAACATGCCTCTGTCGCATGACAAAGCAAGGTAAAATGTCAAGCTTGTCTTACCTGGCGGGAAATCCCCCTTCGGGACCGTCTTGCGCTTGAAGTACACCCATGGCTTCAGCTTCACACCGTCAGCCGTGCACGCCAGCATCACGGTGACGCGCTGCTTCTGGTAACCAGCGCTCCTGATGGGCACCGAGCGAACTCCCGTTTGCTCCACGGTGGTGGTGGCTGGCATCTCAAGCCACAGCGGCGTCTGGTCGGCGTTGATAATCCACGTCGTTTCGATGCCGCGCTCACGACGGTTGTTGCGGACGAACTCCCAGAACTTAGTGCACTGCTCCGCGACATCTGTCAGACACAGGTAGAGAGGGGGGGGGGGGGGGGGGGGGGGCGAGAGGCGGTAGGGATATAAGATCACTGGTAACCGTAAAAACATCATGGAAGACGCATAATAAAAGTTACTAAAACGAAGGGAGGCACTTACGTTCGGCGGTTTTTTGTGCTACCTTCGTCTTCATGCGAACGCTCAAATTCCAGCGGCGCCGAAAACGGTCCGACCACCTCTGACTGGCCTTCCACTTGACGTCGGGGTAGAGAATCTTCATGAATTCCTTTGACCACTCCTGCAGACGACCAACGGAGACGGCGCATCCCTTGCGCCGCCACTCCAGAAGCCTCGCATAGACCTTTAGCTCCATAGGCCTGTACCAAGACGCTCGGCCGCGACCGTGCATCCGCATCCGTGCGCCGTGAGCATCTTTCAGGGCGGCCGCCTCCTTCTTCCACTGCGTCAAGCACTTCCGATGGATGCCAGACTCACGAGATAGAGAGCGCACGGAAACCGCCACCTCCAGCAGCGCGAGCCACTTCAATTTTTCCTGAGCTGTGTAACCCTTTTGCTTGTGCTGCGACATCTTGTGCATGGGAGAGGGGGGGCGGGCATCACGGTTCTTTGAAGAAGGGTGGGGACGCTTGCGGTTAATCGGTGGATAAGACGGTATCGGGACTTTTCAGGAAGGCCATCGCGCGACCAGTATTCGACACCGTCGTCGTCGTCGCCGCCCATGGCACCCTCGGGATACACATCTGCCTCGGTGCCCGCCCCGGTGCCCGCCCCGGTGCCAGTCTCTGTGCCGGTCTCGTCGTCAGCCTCGGCGCCCTTGTCGCCCTCCGCGCTCTCGGCATGCACATCGTCGTCAGCGCCCACGGCGGATTCATCCCACGCGCAGTCTTCTGGCTCGCCCCAGCGTGGAGCCGATGCGGGAGCCTCCGTGGACTCATTTTGAGGCTTGTCCGCGACAGGTTCTTCCAGCCACTTGTTAAAGGTTTTCGGGAGATACTGGCAAAGCTGGAGCACGGGCCGGTTGCCCAAGGTTTCTAAAGGAGGAGCAGGAGGAGCAGGAGGTGCGGGAGGCGACGGAGGAACGGGAGGATTAGGGGGAAGAGGAGGCGCAGGAGGATGTGGTGGGTCGGGAGGCGATGGTGGGGCACGGCAGTACCATCCGTCAGCGGTAACGGTAAACGCGGGCCTACTAGGCTTCTTCTTGAAGAGAAAATGAGTGCCTGTGAATTCCGCCATGGCTGAAGCAGCCCGGCGGGAGAGGAAGGAAAACTGAATCAGAACGAGCAAGAATGAAAAATGAAATGCACTTGGGAGGGACCCCTTCGCCAAGGCGCCACGGGGTCCTCGTCGATGACCGACGGGAAACCCCCGCCTAGACTCGTCGAGGAACTTGCATGGCGTGCACGACGCTGCGTTGCCATGGTAGATTCCACCACCTTCTAGTGGATTCGGGTGGAATTTGCCTGCATGGCAACGCATCCCGCTGTGATTGGACCGCACGGCAGGATTTGCGTCAGCGCTGGCAGGAAAGATTCCACCCCCTTCTAGAGGATTCGGGTGGAATCGACTGCCATGAGGCGCATGACAATGCGATTGGGCCGCACGGCAGGATGCGAGTCAGCAAAGGCAGGTGCGCTGCTTCTGGACGTGAATGTGTGGTGGGAAACCGAGTCGCGGTTGATTTCCCCTGAATTCCATGCACGATCCCACGTGAACGAGTTCGGCTGTGTTCACCTTAAGGAGAGCTTCGATTTGGTGCCTTCAAAAATAAATTTCATTTTCCCGTCTCATAAGCGCATGCGCTTATGCCCGTTACTCAATTACAAGCGCCCCCCTTAAAAAAACTGATTTTATTATAAGCGCATATGCGCTACTATCCGGGGTAATACGGTATTGCTTTGAAGCCGATGCAAACTGAACTGACACTCACACGAGCAGCTGCAATTCCCCACTATCAGGCCGCACTAATGATTGCGAACGAGCAGGCGATTCAAGCGAGCGACCTCCTTGACGATGTCATCATGGTACTCTGCCATGGCAGCATCATACTCCCCATACTCCACCTCCCTGCCCTGCTCGCCCCCACCAGAGGCGCCATGCCCCGGCAGCACGTGGCGTTGCTGTGCGCGCGTCACGGTGGGCCAGTCCCCACGCCCGCCTTCCCCCATGCGCAGCTGTACACGCGCCACCTGTAGGTGGGAGGGAGAGGGGGGGTGGGGGGAGAGCATGTGGGGGGATAGGCAGGATGGGGAAGACGCAGGGGAGTGGCTAGGAGCACGGGGCTTGCTGGTGAACAGCCAAAGACTGTTGGGTTCACCACCCACCTGACAGCCCACCACCCACCTGACAGCTCACCTCCCACCTGACAGCCCACCACCCACCTGACAGCTCACCACCCACCTGACAGCCCACCACCCACCTGACAGCCCACCACCCACCTGACAGCCCACCACCCACCTGACAGCCCACCACCCACCTGACAGCCCACCACCCACCTGGTAGCCCACCACCCACCTGGTAGCCTGAGAGCCATGCACGGCAGCAGAGGTGCCAGTCGCTCATGACAGCCGCCCTCCCCTGCCGCATGTCCGCTTCATCCAGCCACCCCATGTCCTCCAGCACAGAGCGCCGCAGCACGAGAGGGAACGCGGTTACCAGCCCCGTGAAATGCATCGCCACTCCCGTCTCAGGGTCCCTCCACCCCACCTCCCCTCCCTCCGCTCCCCCTCTGCCCTCCATCTCCTCCGCAAGCCCCCTCCAGAACCGCACACTGGCAGCAGCGCGTGCCGCCTGAGGCGCCTCGTCTCCCCCCACACGCTCCTCTGCGCGGCCAGCCTCCCCCAGGCCGTCGGTGCGGAACCCCGCCACTGCCAGGCGCGGCCACGCAGCAAACGCGGTCAGCACTCTGTCCAGCCACAGGCACGAGGCTGGCGGCAGTGCATCCCCATGCAGCATCATCACCAGCTCCCCGCGTGCCATGCGCGCCAGGTCGTTGAACATGAGCGGGGCAGCGCCCAACCGCGGCAGCACGGGCACCACAAAGATGCCCTCCGCCGTGTCGTTCCTCGCCTGCATCCACGCCTCTAGACTCACGTCTGGGTGCATCACACTCACCAGCATCTCCGCCCGGATGCCTGGCAGTGAACCCGTCCCAGCCATGCCGTGCGTGCACGCGTACAGGCGGGTTACCAGCGCCTGCACGCGCTCTGCTCGCCCGCTGTAAGTGAGGAGGAAGGAGATGTTGGGGTGCGTGTCAGGGTAGTGCTCTGGGAGCTTCTGCCACACGTGCTTTGGGGCTACTAGCCCCGGTTGGGTTTCGTACTCGGGGTAAATAGCCTCCCAGTCGGTGCACTGTTTCGTGCACCCAGACACGTTGGCCACGGCAGCGTATCGCTCCAGCAGCGCGCTCTGCTCGTCCGTCCAGTTGCTGTGGGGCAGCCGCAGCCCGCACTCCTCCCATAGCTGCTCTTGTGTGGCTTTCAGGGTGGATTCTGCTGACGTGGCGGCTGACGTGGCGGCTGCCAGCACAGCACGCTGCTCCTCCACGTGAGCGACGGCCTTGGGGTGGTCGGGCCCCTCAGAGTCGAACCAGGCATGGAAGGGCAGATACCAGAAGAGGAACTCCGATAGCTTGCTCTTCTCTGCCGGGCGGCAGGGGGGTTGGGGATGGGGCATGGGGGATGGGGATGGAAGGGAGGAAAGAAGGGAGAGTAAGGGGGGAGTGGAAGGGCAGGTACCAGAAGAGGAACTCCGATAGCTTGCTCTTCTCTGGTGTAAGGCGTGGGGGATGGGCAGGGTGAGGAGGGCAAGAAGAGTGAGGATGAGGAGATCACGGGAGGGAAGGAAGGCAGGTTGCAGAGGGCGAATTCAAGCAGGCTGGTTGTGTCTGGTCGGAGAGAGTAGTTGGTTGTGGGGTCTGGGAGGCGTGAGGGAGACGAGAGAGAAAATGCGAGAGAAACTATAATCGACGAGAGGATCCAGGGAAAGGAAAGGAGCAGCCACGCCCTGACCAACGAGAAGCACTCGCTGGCCCCAACGCTCTGTGTTGTCACTTGGCCTCTCCCCATGGTGACCTCACTCGCACGTTCCGACATTCTCCTCCCAACGCACTCCGACTGGATGCACCCAGCCCGGATGGACCAGCCCGGATGCACCAGTATAGCAATCCAGGGATGTGTGAGTGAGGGATAAGCTGCATCACCACTCCATGTAACACCTTCACACAAGTGTACATTCCGTTCCATCTGGCGTCTCACACGCACCTGCGCCATCCGGCATGGTGTTGAGCTTCTCACTGGCCTGCTCGCCCGTGAGGTTGAGCGCCACCCACCACTCGCGGCGGTCGTCCAGTGCTCTCAGCTGCCCCACCATGAACTGCCTCAACTCCGCCTCCCTGTCCGCCTGCTGCTGCTTCTGTGAGGCTGATTGGGGTGTAGGGTTTGAGGGCGGCAGCGAGTGGGGAGAGGAGGAGGGGGAAGGGGAGGGGGATAGAGTGTGTTGATGTCCATGTGCATGGCACTCCCTATCATCGCAATGTGCATGGCACTCCCTCTCATCGCAATGTGCACACTGCAGCCATCCACTCCTGTAAACCCGCCCACCACCATGCCGCTTTCCCACCAGCCCTTGCACCCTATCCCCTCCCCACGCGTGCTCTGTCGCTCCAACCCCTGGCCATCGTGCCGTACCTGCCGCCCTCCTGGCCACGCACCGATGTGGAATCGCGTCTGCAGCCCGTCCGCCAGGAAGTAAAGATCCATGCACTCCCCCACCGCCTCCCCCACTGCCTCCTCCAATGCTGCTTCCCCCACCGCCCCGTCTACTCGCCCCTCTACTCCTGTACTTGCTCCTGCTCCCACCATGCCCTCTCCCTCCACCCCACCCTCCACGTCCACCTCCCCCACGCTGACACGTGGAGCAGTTGCCAGCATGGCGTGGATCTGCGCCAGGCTGTCGTCGCCAGGTGGCAGCGCGGCAATGGTGGAAGCAGCCGCCTCGTCCAGCAGGGGGAAGCTGTCGCCCAGCGATGAGCGCTCCACGTGCAGCTGCTGCAGGTCGTGGTCATATGCAGGGTTTGGGGAGGGGTAATGGGGGGTGGTGGGGTGGGGGGGTGGGGGTGGCGATGGGGGTGGGATTGAGTTGCATTTGAAGCGCCTGAGAAGCCGCCTTGTCCAGCAAGGGGGAGGTGTGGCCCAGCAATGCGCGGTCCACCTGCAGCTGCTGCTCTCCGTGCACGCTCGTGGTACAGATGGAGTTGGGATGGCATGGGGATGGCATGGGGATGGGTTTGGTTGGGATGGGGATGGTTGGGGAAAGAGTGGTTTGGTATTCGTATTGGTATGGGGGCATGAACGAGGGTGTATTGGGGACAAGGGTGAAGTGGGAATGAAGGGTAGAGCTCAGGATACTAGTGCACAGAGATGAACGGTCGTGATGCAGGTGGGAGGAGTAGGCTCTGCTGGAATATACGCCCTGGCCAAGGTAGTAGTGCGTACGCAGGCACACGGCTATCACTCGCCACCCCATCGCCTTCTCTCCCAAAACCTAATCAGCTGGTCGCACTCAACCCATCAGCTGATTGGGTGGGTAACCACGAGCCGGCCCTGCCTTGCATTATTCCAGTCCCACACCAGGTCATTTTGGGTCCCCAATGCCGTCTTCCTTCTACATTCGCCCACCTACCATTCTACCACCCCTCCATACTCTCCTCTTGAAGTCATGCCCTTCCTTTGCTTTCTCACACCGCCAGCCTCCAGCGGCCTCCTATAGCACCCCTTCCTTTCGCTCGTGTTCTGCGGTGCTGTTGCGACACCAGTGGTGAGCATACTAGCACGCCGCTCCCCCTCTTCAGCACGCATGAAACGACACACTCTGCGCCTCCACTCCTCACTCTCCACCCTCCACAGACATCGCCTCCCTTCCATTTCCCCCCAATTCTCCGCCCTCACCCGCACGGCGGCCCTGACAGCAGCGTGCAGGCGCTGCCCGTCCCGCTCTGCCTGCACCCGCGCCTCCTCCACGCGCTGCTGCATGCGCCGCCTGTGCGCCGCTAGCAGCGCCACCACAGGGGAACTGGGGGAACGTGGGACACGGGAAGGGATTGGGGGGAATGGGGGGAGCGCGGGGAAGGGGTGGGGGGAAGGTAAGACTAGAATCATGCAGCGCCCTCGTGGTGGGCGCTTGCAGTGGCAGGGACGATGGGGTGGGACAGGGGGGCTGCGGGGGCAGGCGTCGAGGTGAGCGCAAGGGGACATGGCGGAGAGAAACGCATGCAGCACTGACTCCATTCCACCAACGGTTGACTCTTGGGTGACTCAGTGCTGACTCAGTGCTGACTCACCAGCATGAGAGGGTGGAATGGGTTGAGACAAGGGGGCTTCGGGGCGAGCGTAGTGCAAGCAGCAGCAAGAGAGGCAACTCCACACAGGTGTGCGGACACCGTCGAGGATGTGCATGTGTTGACACGGCGACCCACCCACTGCCCACCTGCCATCCAGTGAAGGGTACAGTGTAGCATCCTCCTCGCCCTTGCCCCCCCCTGCCTCCCTTCCGCGCCCCGCCTCCCCCTCTCGCCCCGCCTCTGCTGCCAGCGCAAACAGGTCCGCCCCCCCTACCCCCCCCTGCCCCGTTTCTCCCTCCCCCCACTCCGCGTCATCAAACGGTCGCGCGCCTAGCTCCGCTTCCCCTTCGTTCCCCGCATCATCCTCACCCCCACTCCCCCCCCCATACCCGCCAGCGGAAACGAAGGCGGAGAGGAGGGAGGCGGAGGGGGCGGAGACGGCGGCGTAGAGGCAGGCGAGCGCGAGCACGGCGGAGAGCCCCGCGAGGGCGCGCAGCCAGGGGGACGCGGGGAGGTGCATGGCGGAGTGAGCGCGCGCCTACGGGGAGACGAATACGGGCATCGCTGGGAGCACGCAGGGAGGGGATTGCCGCGGAGAGCGCTCAACGAGGGGGAGGGCGGGAGCCGCACGGGGGGGATAAGGCGCGAGTGCAAAAGGAGACGGGCGGGGCCACGGCGGAGGTGAGGGCGGCAAGCGCGGGTGGTGGCGGGGAAATCGCTGTTCCGGTGTTCCGAGTCGGACGGGGAGACGATCAACAGCTGTCTCTCGTGCTGCGAGCGACGTGCTGACAGCCGCGAGGAGATTCTCTGTGCTTCAAAGAAGAACAACAAGTAAATAGAAGTGGGGTATCGATCCACATACCTCCCGCATGCTAAGCGAGCGCTCTACCTCTGAGCTACATCCCCATGCGAGCGCATGTCATGTTTAGGGTTTAGACGTTTGGTTTAGACATATGTTTAGATGTCCACCCAGATGTCAGATCTCCGAAATTCATTTGCAGCGACACAAGCGGCCGAGCTGCATTGCGCGACCACCGCCATCCGCGCCTTCCCATGCGCGTCCTCGCATCGCCGCTGCTGCGCTTCGCCTCCCTCTCTCTCGCCTCCGCCGCACGCGCTCAAACCCACTGCCACGTCAGCAGCGCTCCCTTCAACCGCCTTGCAACCCTTGCGTGCCCCGCCGCGCGCCACTCAGCGAACGGACTTCCCGCCGCATTCCCCGCCGGGTTCCGCGGCACTTCCATCCTGGCGTCGTCGGCCTCGCCGCCGTCACCTCCTGCCAACGAAGCAGCGGCGCGCAAGCGAGCCAAGATGGCGGCAGCAGGAGATGCGGCGGTGAGCGCGGGGAACGGCGAGCAGGCGGGAGCCGCGCGGAAGCGCATCGGGACGCACAACGGCACGTTCCACTGCGACGAGGCGATGGGGTGCTTCCTGCTGCGCCGCACGCTCAAGTTCCGCGACGCGGATGTGGTCCGCACCAGGGACGAAAAGGTGCGCGCCGCAGGGCGTAGGTTTCGGAACGAGGGCAGCGAGGCAGAGCGTGAATGAGGGTGGGACAATTGATCGGCGTGATCTCAGCCTCATCCCCTCGTGGCCCTTGTTGTCATCTGCAAGCCTCCCCCCCAGCCGCTCCTCACCCGTCACCCCCGTCTAAAACACCCCGCATCCTGGGCAACCGAGGGTTTTTCAGAAGCGCAGCAATGCCGTTTTCACCCTTGGTTCTCACTCGTACATTACGCCCTCCCCGCCCCCTTTCCCCCTTCCCTCCCCGCTGTGCGCGCGCGTGCCGGGGGTCCGCGGGTGCTGGCGGAGCCGAACGGGTGAGGGACGCGGTAGGCTGTAGGCTGTACGACCGCGAGAGGGACCGCCACGACCACCACCAACGTTACCCTCTCCCCCGTCCCCTTCCTCTTCTCGTCTCCCCCTTCCCCCTCTCACCGGCAGGTGCTAGCAGAATCGATGTGGGGGGGGGTGTACGACCCCTCAACCCGACTGCCACAACCACCACCGTTACCCCCCTCCCCCTCCCCCTCCCCCTCCCCCTCCCCTCCCCCTCCCAATGTTACTCCCTCCCTGCTGCGTGTGTGCGGCGCAGGTGCTAGCAGACTTGGACGCGGTGATCGACATGGGGGGCGTGTACGACCCCCTCCACCGACCGCTACGACCACCACCGACGCTATCCCCTCCCCCTCCCCTCCCCCTTTCCCCCCCTTCCTCCTCCCCCTTCTCCCCGTTCCTCCTTCCCACAGGTGCTAGCAGATCTGGTGGCGGTGATCGGTGATCGGTGTACGACGCCTGCACGGACTGCTACCACCACCACCAGCCTCACCCCCTCCCCCTCCCCATGCTGCGTGTGTGCGGCGCAGGTGCTGGCGGAGTTGGACGCGGTGATTGACGTGGGCGGGGTGTACGACGCCGCAACGGACCGCTACGACCACCACCAGCGCGGCTTCACGGAGGTGTTTGGCCATGGCTTCTGCACCAAGCTCAGCAGCGCGGGGCTCGTGTACAAGGTGGGATACTGGGGGGGAGGGGGGCGCTCGTGTGCAAGGGGGGAGGAGGGGGGGCTGATTCTGGCTTCCGCACCACTCTCAGCAGCGCGGGACTCGTGTACAAGGTGAAGGGGGAAGGGCAAGGGGGGGGAGGGGGGGGAGGATGCGGGAGATGCGTGTTGACGATTTGGGGTGTGCGTGCGGAAGGGTTGGAGATTGTGGGCTGAAGGGCTTGGTTGGGAGGAACGAGCGGCTCAAGGTGCAGCAGCGTGCATGGCTTGTGGACGGAAGGAATGAGCTTTGAGTCGACTCACAATGCAGATGGGACGGGCGCGTGGGGAATCCGGGCGGGTGGCAGTGCCACTCTCCTCGTTTGTTTGTTTGTTTGCTTGGAGAGCAGCGGCACGGAGAGGAGAGGTGGCGCATCATTGGTGCTTGCCTCGCCATCCTCACGCCCGTGCTCACTCATCTCCCTCGCCCCCTCTCCCCCTGTCCCTCCCCTCCCTGCCCTTCCCGCGCCACTCCTTTCCATGTGGGGCGAGCAGCACTACGGGGAGGAGGTGGTGGCGGGGCTCATGGGGCTGCCTCAGACACACGCGGACGTGCACAAGGTGTACCTCGCTGTCTACCGCTCCTTCATGGAGGTGCGTGATGCGAGGCTGCTTGTAACGAGGACAGGTGGATGCGTCGTGCAGTGTACGCGCGATGATGTGACATGCTTGCTGCACGCGAAGCCTCTAGTCGCGTGCCTGCAGTGTGCGTGCGATGATGTGACATGCTCCTTCGCGCCATCACTTGGAGCACTGCCTGTGCTGTGTCACTCAGGGTTCTGCGTTGCGCACCATCTCATCCACTCTTCTCCTCACTCCCCCCTCCGCCCTGCTATATCCTCTCTCCCCTCCCCTATCGCCTCTCCCCTCATCCCCTGCCCACCAGTCACTGGACGCGATAGACAACGGGGTGAACCAGTTTGAGTCGGAGCACCCACCGCGCTACGTGAACAACACGCACCTCTCAGCGCGCGTGGGGCGCTTCAACCCCGACTGGCTCGACGACGCCTCCCCCGCCGCCCAGGACGCCGCCTTCCAGAAAGCCATGGCTCTCGCTGGGGAGGAGTTCGTGGAGGTGCGACGCAGGGGGGGAGGAGGGGGGGGGGGGGAGGGGGGGGGTAGGGGGAGGGGAAGGGGCTGGGAGAGGGGCAGGGGGAGGGGGAGGGGGAGGGGAAGGGGAAGGGGCAGGGGAGGAGAAGGGGTAGGGGAAGGGGAAGGGGAAGGGGCAGATGGTGGGGAGGGCAGAGAGGGAGATTTATAATGAAGGGCGAGAGTGGAGCTTCCCGCTGAGAGGCATGCTGCCATTCCTTCCCGCTGAGAGGCATGCTGCCATTCCTTCCCGCTGAGAGGCATGCTGCCATTCCTTCCCGCTGAGAGGCATGCTGCCATTCCTTCCCGCTGAGAGGCATGCTGCCATTCCTTCCCGCTGAGAGGCATGCTGCCATTCCTTCCCGCTGAGAGGCATGCTGCCATTCCTTCCCGCTGAGAGGCATGCTGCCATTCCTTCCCGCTGAGAGGCATGCTGCCATTCCTTCCCGCTGAGAGGCATGCTGCCATTCCTTCCCGCTGAGAGGCATGCTGCCATTCCTTCCCGCTGAGAGGCATGCTGCCATTCCTTCCCGCTGAGAGGCATGCTGCCATTCCTTCCCGCTGAGAGGCATGCTGCCATTCCTTCCCGCTGAGAGGCATGCTGCCATTCCTTCCCGCTGAGAGGCATGCTGCCATTCCTTCCCGCTGAGAGGCATGCTGCCATTCCTTCCCGCTGAGAGGCATGCTGCCATTCCTTCCCGCTGAGAGGCATGCTGCCATTCCTTCCCCGTTCCTCGAACCTGCCACCTGTGCTCGCCGCTCGTCACTCCCTAATCCCCTTCCCCTACCATCTTTCTCCTGGTTCACACCCCACCCTACGCCTCACACCGCCCCACTGCACCACCCCAACACACCCCTTCAGGCGGTGAGCTACACGGCGCGCAGCTGGCTGCCAGCTTTTAGACGTTACCCCCCACCCTCGCCCCCGTCCCCACCCTCCTGCCCCCCACCCCTGGCAGGCGGTGACATACACGGCGCGCAGCTGGCTGGCCGTTTTGACGCGTCTCAAAACCGCAACCCCCACCCCTGTGCCCCAACCCCTGCCCCAACGTCCTGCCCCACCCCCCTGGCAGGCGGTGAGCTACACGGCGCGCAGCTGGCTGCCGGCGCGCAGCATCGTGGAGGAGAGCATCGCGGCTGCCGTGGCAGAGCATGGCACGGCGGAGATCATCACGCTCAAACAGTTCTGCCCGGTGAGAGCACCGGTGCTGCCACACTGCTGTGCTGTTGCGTCCTGGAGGTGTAGGGAAAGTACGAGGGGGGGGTTAATGATAGAATACCGAATAGTAACGAATACCTCGAATATTCGTTACCCGAATATTCTACATTCACGAATACCCGTGTAGCGAATATTTTCGAATACATGGTCGTTTCTTATTCTCTCGAATTCAGGTATTCGAACGAATATCGAATAGTTCTCGAATACCAAATATTCTTTTACAGGCTTACCTGGAGGTGGCTGTATGGGCTGTGCATTCCATGCCTCATGCGCCTCTCTGCACCTCCTCTCTCTGTGTGCGTGCCACTACCTGGGTGTCAACTGTCACCGCGGGTCGGGTCATGTGTGCACCTTTTATCGGGGTGCATGTAACCCTTCTCTATGTTTGTGTTTGTCATCTCGGCGTGTGTGTGATGTGTGTGAGCAGTGGAAGGGGCATTTGAGTGAGCTGGAAGGGGAGTTGAAGCTCAACCCTCTGCCCAAGTACATGCTCTATGAGGTACATGCTCTATGAGGTACATTTTCTATGAGGCACATTTTCTTTGAGGTACATTCTCTATAAGGTATGTTCTGTGACATACACCCCTCGTCTTCCCTCCCCGCCTTGGCTCCTCATTCAACCACTCCCTGACTGCCCGACAAGTGGAACCCCTATTCCAGGTGCACGTCATGGCACGCCCACTGCCGTCACCCATGCATTCTGGAGTGTACTTCACTCCGCGCACTCCCCTCACTCCCCTCACTTCCCTCACTCCCCTCACTCCCCTCACTCCCCTCACTCCCTCACTCCCCTCACTCCCCTCACTTCCCTCACTCCCCTCACTCCCCTCACTTCCCTCACTCCCCTCACTTCCCTCACTCCCCTCACTTCCCTCACTTCCCTCACTCCCCTCACTCCCCTCACTTCCCTCACTTCCCTCACTTCCCTCACTCCCCTCACTTCCCTCACTTCCCTCACTCTCCTCACTCTCCTCATTTCCCTCACTCCCTGCATTCCCGTCACTCCCTCACTCACTACCTGCACTCCCTGCATTCCCCTCACTCCCTTGTCACACTCGCTCTGCCCCCTGGCCTCACCCCACAGGACGACCGGGCCAAGCAGTGGCGCGTGCAGGCCATTTCAGTGGCGCCAGGCAGCTTTGAGAGCCGCTGCCCGCTGCCCCTGGACTGGAGGGGCCTGCGTGATGATGAGCTGTCGGAGCGGTCGGGCATTCCACGGGGGGTGTTTGTGCACATGAGTGGCTTCATTGGTGGTAACCACACGTACGAGGGCGCCCTCGCCATGGCCAAGGCTGGTCTGCCCGAAGGTGCTGCTGCTGATGCTGCCAAGGCTGCCGAAGCTGCTGCTGCCACTGTTGCGTGATGTAGAAGGCGTGTGAAGCTGCTCAAAAGTCGTGTTTGTAATGCACGCGGAGGGGCATCATGCATGCAAGTGGGATCATTGGAGGAACCATACCACAGTGCATGTACTCTCTGGAGTCAAACAAGGGGGTGCTTACCAGTATCTTGACTACGGCTGGCCTAGCTACTGCTGCAAGGCCTCGTGCCACGTGGTGCGTAGGGCCTTGCTTACCCTGTTGTTGACCTTACCTTTCAAACATGATGTTTAGTGCTCAGCTAGTGTTCAAATACAGGAAGGACCGATTGTAGAAAGAACAAAGGCAAGAAGATGCTAGTAGTGGCACCCATACTTGTTTGTGCACAGGCTGTTACACAGCACAGCAGAGGCCTGCCACGAATGTCCTGCCTGCTGCCACTGCTGCTGTACTCATGGGTGTCGACATACCGTAGCAAACCATGTGCTGTACCCAATCTGACACACCAGTGTGAGTCGGCAGCCATCACCTCATCATCATCATCCCTGCAGGGAAGGTCTCGCCGCACACAGTGCTCCCGCACAGGGTAGGCCAGCCACCCATCCAGTGCACTTGATTGCAGCCTGCTCCCGCACTGCACTGCCCCTCGCTACAGCCAAGCGGTGCACACAGCCCGTGCTGCAGCACCATGCCTTGCTGGCACGCACCTGTCAACACCCTCATCACCTTCTTTCCAGTCACTGTGTGCTTGCGCCCACGCTCGCGCTTGTGCTTGTGCCGCCTTGAATCTCTGCTGCACGGGTCACTGCTGTGCTGTGCCGAGTGCTTGCTGCCCCGATGCGGCCTCGTGGGGTGGAGGGGAGTGGGCGGGATCAGCAGCAGCATTAGGCGGCGAAGCAGCGCACACTCGCAGCACCTGCTCTGCCTGGCAATTCGTGGTGGAGGTGGGGGAAAGGGGGGAGGGAGGGGGATCAGCAGCTTGCTGTGGTACAGCGGCGCACACTCGCAGCACCTCCTTCGCCTGTTTTTGCATGGTGGAGAGAGGGGGGGGGGGGCGGAGGTGGGGAAGAGGAGGCAGGGAGGAGGGAGGGGGACACAATATGGGACAAATCAGCAGCATATGGCGGCACTGCGGCGCACGCTCGCAGCACCTCCTCTGCCTGACAATTCGTGGTGGAGGTGGGGGGAAGGGAAGGGGAAGGGGGGGCAGGGAATGAGGAAAGGGCGGAGGGAGGGGGCGACGAAGTGAGTGGGATCAGCAGCATGCGGTGGTGCAGCAGCGCATACTCGCAGCACCTGCTTTAAACTGCCGAAGCATGCGAAGGTGGGGGTTTGGGAAGGGGGAAGGGGAAGGGAGAGAACAGGTGGGTCCATGAGAAGAGGGGGAGAGAATGAGGAGAGCGAGCAGCAGTGGACCGCGCATGTTACAAGCACGTGTTCGGGTGAAGGTGGTGAGAGGAGAGGCGGGGCGCTTGGTGAGATGCAAAGGGAGATGGAGAAAGGAGGGGAGAGCCGAGGAGGGAGGCAGGAGCTTGGGTTGAGCGCCAATCGTAAGCTTGGACACGCAAAGGGAATGGACGTCGGAAGGATGCGCGGGGAGGGAGCGCGTTCGCTGGTTGGGGGGACCTGTGCAACGAAGCGCGGCAAGAGCGACAGCACGGCGGGGTCATGCGGCATGCGACGCTCATCGCCTGCTCACCTGCCTCGTTCATCATCGCACCGCACCTGTCGGATGCGCGCGTGGCGCGTCTTGGCGTTGGCGCGGCGCGTGTGGTTCATGGGGTGTCGCTTCCACACCAGTCCGCCCGTCGCTTTAAACACCTGCAGCGCCACGCGCGTCGCCTCGCCCAGCGCCATCGCCCGATCAACAGATTCTCCACCGAAAGTCGTCGACGCTTAAAGCGTTGCAACGAGGGTACTGTTGACAGATCTGGCGCGCTTTAGCTCTGGTGATTGTTTCAGTGCGCAACAGCAGATGTGACTACTGTACAACGGGAGGAGAAGAAGCGGAGCGGAGGAAGAGTGGCGCTGGGTTAGGGCGTGGAGATTCCGTGGAGCCAGGGCGTTGGCCGCATTTCTGTCTACAAAAGTATTTCGCAAACATGTCGCACACGTCGACAAAATCGTCGACCAGATTCCCGGCAGGATTTGCAGGTCCGCAGCGAGAGTCGACGAAAACATTTTTCCCAACATTGGCCGATCTGCACTTTTGTCGAAGTTCGTGAACGGGAATGGAATTCGTCGCTGACTGGGTGGAATCAGTGGCGTCATCGCCCACGCATGCGGCAGTAACGCGGGACTTGTTCGTCGACACTGAATGCTGCCCAGAACCTGGCGAGGAATGTTACCGTCGCAGCCTTTGGGTGTCACAACAAGTGTTCGCTCACGAACACTCCCACCCTAGTCATAAATATGTCGACTGGAATTAGTAGACATTATTAGAAGCTTATGGTTCGTCATCCATACAATCATGCCGTCTAGCAGCTCCTTTTTCGTCCTCGACATTGGGAAATCCGGCGGCGGCGGCGTGAGCGGCGGCGGCGGTTTTGCGTCGTTTCTTCTCGCGGCGAGACCGTATCTTGTAGTAGCCGCCGTGATTCTCGCTCTCGAGCTACCGTTTGTTCTCTTCTTTCAGCCATGGCGAGTCGCCCAGGTCGAACCGCGAATCGACGCCGCGTTGCAACCCGAAGGCGGTGGCTTCGCCGGGTGCAAGATAAGCGCTGCGCAGTGCCGTGCGGAAGAAAACTACTGGGTACGTCCTAAACATGCCCAGGTACATACGGTCGATATACGGCGCTTTGGCGACGTTTGAGGTCGCTTGTGTGGTGCATAGAGGTTCCATGTTGGTTTATCGCCTTTCTGGGTGTTTTGATAAGTGGTTCGGGGTGTCACGACGTCATGTTCGCATCACATACGCTCAAGTAGCGAGTTGACAACGAAACATTGTCCCTCCTAGCTCGCCAGGCACGTCACGTGATCGGCTGTGAGTTACTAACGACCTGGGTAGTATGCTCGCGAAGCTAAAAATAACGTGTAGCAGGCTTGGGCTTAAAAATGCGTTTCCCAGCTGAAATGCACCTTTTCATATCCCCATAACAGCTGAACGTGCAACGGCGTAAGGACTTCAACGGCGGTCAATTCCAGCCGTCAGATGTAACGGACGGTGCAGATATGCTCATCCGCATCCTCGTGCCCACCTACCAGTGCCCCGGGGAGGAGCGGCTGGGCGTGTGGGGTGACGGTGGCAAGGTGAGAAAGGCCGTGGGGCAGTGGAAAGGGGTGGGGATGGTGTGAGGGTAAGGATGAAAAGGTGGTGGGGCAGTGGGGATGGGTAAGGATGGGTTGAGGGAGTATAGGCGTGGAATGTGGAGGGATGAATACCCTCATCCCCATCCTCGTGCCCACCCACGTTTCAATACACATTTAATCCCGTCACTCCCTGCCCCAACTCCACCCCCACCACACCCAGCCCCTCGTCCTCCACTGATGCACCAGCAGCGGAATTACATGCGTCCTCTCACCATGCATTTCCTTGCAATCCTCGTCATGCCGCCACTCCTTCCTCTCTCCTCCCTTCCCCCTCTCCCCCCCCCCATGCACCAGTGGACATGCATGCTGCCGTCCACCATTCAGCCCAAGCCCATCGTCTACAGGTCCGGTCCTGGGCGTGTCTTACAACCCCTGGCTGTTAACACTAGTGTATTACCATGTGTTGTTATTAGTGTGTTGTGCATATGTTCCTGTGCCCACCAACCAACCTAGTGAGCATTGTACTTGCCACCAGCATTCCCCATAATGCCTCTTTTACAATGTCCCTTTGCCCTCTTTGTCAGGTGATTTTCCATACAGTGCATATTTTCCAGTGTTCATGTCTCTTGCATCGATCAAATGCTCTACATGCGCACCAACGCCGTCAACCCTCCGTCTTGCCACCCTTGACCTCTGCACCGATGTCACCAGCGACGTCAATAACGACAGCAGCACTCACCTTCGAACCGTTCACCTTGCCGGCCACTCACGAGCATATCGACAGCAACAAATCAACCCTTGATATAGTTCCCTCGTCTCACCCCGCCCCTCGTATCCCCTCCCCGTGCAGCATCGGCAGCAACGAGTCGTTTTCATTTGAGAGTGAGATCAGTGCGGAGCTGCACATACGCACGGACACCTTCGACCCCTTCATCCCCCCCGAGGCGCAGGCGCGCATGAAGGCGCTGCCCTTCCTGCGCTTCCACAGCATTGGCGTCGCCAGCAGCGCTGACATCAACGAGTACAAGAAGTGGTATCCCAAGGTGCGATGCGGTACCCCAAGGTGCGATGTGGTACTCCAAGAGTACACCAAGGTGTGAGCTGTGGAACCCCAGAGTAATAGCTGTGGTACCCTTTTCTCCTGCCCTCCCTCTTTTCTCCTTCCTTCCCCCCTTTCTCTTGCCCTCCCCCTTTTCTCCTGCCCTCCCCCCATTCTCCTGCCCTCTCCCCATTCTCCTGCCCTCCCCCCATTCTCCTGCCCTCCCCCCATTCTCCTGCCCTCCCCCCTTTCTCCTGCCCTCCCCTCTTTCTCCTGTCCTGTCGTCTTTCTCCTGCCCCCCGCCTCTCTCCTGCCCTCCCCCCTTTCTCCTGCCTTCCCCCCTTTCTCTCCTCCACCCTTTCTCAAAATCCCCAGGATGCATCTCAGGCTGCTGGCTCAGGTCACGCATGTTTTGAGTCGTCTCAAACTTGTGTTCCGAGACATCTCAAAACGTTCTCTTGCTCCACTCACGGGTGCAGATGAAGCTCACGAGGCCAGCTCAGGTCATGCATGATTGACTAGGCCATGCGGGGGATAAAAAAAAAGAGGATTAGGCATGAGCGGGACTGAGGAATCGGTGACTCGTGCAAGGGCATGCTTCAAGGTCGGGGGGCAAGAAGAGTGCTTGGGGTTTCAGGTGACTGGAAAGCTCATTTACCTTCTCTCCGCGAGCACCCTCCCCGCCCTTGCTCCCCCTTCCCCCCCCCGCTCCGCCTTCTCCTCGCTCCCCCTTTGCACCCCCCCTCCCCCCCCGCTCCTCCTGCCCCCCCTGCCCTGCGTTCCCACGGCACGGCCCGCTTGTAACAGATGAAGTTCATGCGGTTGGGCGAGATCATGGGGAAGCTGGGCCACTCGTACATGGACGTGCTGAAGGTGGAATGCGAGGGGTGTGAGGAGAACTTCATCCGGGAGCTTCTCTTTCTGCTCTTCCCTCTTCCCCCCCCTGCTCCCACCCCTTCCCCCCCCTTGCTCTCCCCGCCTCCCCTGCTATCCACACTCTTCCTGACCCCCTTTGGCATGGTTCCCATGCCTCACTTATACAGAAGAGGTTCATGCGGTTGGGCGAGATCATGAAACGGCTGGGGCACTCGTACATTGACGTGCTGAAGGTGGACTGCGAGGGGTGCGAGGAGAACTTCATCCACGAGCTGGTGGCGGCGAACCACAACAAGATGGGCGCGCTCACCATCCATGGGGGCCGGCTGCCCTTCGGACAGATGCTCTGTGAATTCCACAGGTGCGGATACATGTGGCTGGAGTTGTATTCTGTGCACAAGCAAGTGTGCCAGGTACACGCACTGGCGTACAAGTGGGATTGATGTTTATAGTGGCACGCAGGCATAGACACATGCATGCCGCACACATGCCTGCAGATGCGAATTCGAACGCATGCACACGAACGCGCACTTATTTATGCACACTCGCAGGCACGCACACACGTGCACATGCACATGCACATGCACGTACGCACGCACAGACGCACGCAAGCAAACACAGACACCCACACGCATGCACACACACACGTGTTCACAGACAGTCTCGAACACCCCCACCCACACACACACAACCACATACCCTCACCTACCCACACTCAAGCATACACGCACGCGCACACACACACACACACACACACACACACACACACACACTCACACACACACACACACACACACACACACACACACACACACACACACACACACACACACATTCTCTGCGCTTTTTCCCCGTGTGCATGACAGAACGGACATGCCGAACCGCACGCTGCCGCTGGTGTACGGCATGGAGAGCCTGGGGTACCGCATGTTCCACGTGGAGCCCAACCCATCCACTCCACTCCCCATGCATATTCCCCCGTATGCCTCTCAGAACGGACATGCCGAATCGCACGCTGCCGCTGGTGTATGGAATGGAGAGCCTGGGGTACCGCATGTTCCACGTCGAGCCCAACCCGCAGTGCCTGCACTGCCAGGAGATCGACTTCGTCCACGACACGCTCGTCAAACCCTCCCCCACCGCCGACTGCCGCCCCTTCCTGCAGAGCAGCAGCAGCGGCGGGCTTGCGCAGTTGCTAGATGCACAAGGCAAGGCGCAAGCTGCAGGTGGCACGGGGGAGGAAGCTGCTGCTAGTGGTAGTGCGCTTGATTCGCCGTAAACCCCTCGTCAGCCCGCCTTTCACCACGGCTGTATTGTATTGCCTGTCGGTTGCCCTTTTTTTGCAGCAGAGGAAGTTTTTTATGTAAGTTGCATAGGGTGATTTTGGCAAATTATAAGTACCCCTAAGCTGGAAATGCGGGTCAAGCTGCAAACGTGCCAGGTGGGTGGAGTCTTCTAGCCTTCTTGGTGTGAAGACTTCTAGTCCCTTTTTGTATTGTACCATATCAGGTATTCATTTGGGTAACACACCCAGCTCTTCACCTGTTTAGGCCTGGCCATACCAGGCCCTCAGATTCGTTTTTGGCCTGTCTGATTCGTCAGACTAGTACACACTTTTAGTCTGATTCGTCAGACTAGTACACACTTTTGGCCTGTCAAATATAATAGTTATAGGCTGTAGTGAGTTGCATTATAGAGGGTACAGATGCTAGGGTTTCCTATTTGTATCCAACACTTTGCTAGTTCATCCATTCCGTTGCATTCCTACTTTGAGATGGTATCACGAGTAGGTTAGTTCCTCGTTACTTCCTAGCCTGCGCCCTCTCTAGCGCACCTCCGTGCCCTCCGCACCCTCCGCGCCCTCCGCGCCTTAGCCTCCGTGCCCTCCGCGCCCTCTCCGCGCCCTAGCGCCCTCCTCCTCCGCGCGTCAGCGCCCTCCGCGCCCCTAGCCCATGTTTTTCGGCCCGCGCGCCTTAGCGCCCTCCGTGCCCCTAGCCCGCGCCGTCGCGGACCTCCGCGCCTAGCGCCCTCCGCGCCCCTAGCCCGTCGCCCAGGCCCGCGCCCTAGCCCGTCACCCGGGCCCGCGCCCTAGCCCGTCGCCCCAGCCCGCGCCCTGGCCCGTCGCCCCAGCCCGCGCCCTAGCCCGTCGCCCAAGCCCGCGCCCTAGCCCGTCGCCCCAGCCCGCGCCCTAGCCCGTCGCCCCCGCGCCCTGACCCGTCGCCCCAGCCCCGCAGGCAGCGCGCCGCGCGGGTAGCGCTGTCAAAATCTAGCAGCAGGAATGAATGAACTATGAAATAGTTGGGTACAAATATGAAACCCTAAAAGGGGCTGTACCCCATATTGGCTACCCCACTACAGCCTAAACATATATAGCAGATATATCATTTGACACACCCCCATAGGCAAAGTGGGGGAGAGCAAGGGGTCACAAGACCAGTCAAGAGAAGCAAAGCAAGCTCAGGGTGGATCACAACGTCACCACACACAATGAGCACAAGCAAAGGGCCACAAGGCCAGTTCACATGCAGGGGTATATATGCAACAACAACAGCACAGTGATCTCTACCTAGCAGAGCAAGCATGCAGGTATATATATAGATCACAGTACAAGCAAAGTCTACAGCAAGTGAGGAAAAGTGGGCACAAGGCCTAACAAAGTGCAGAAACGATGATGATCACCAGACGGAAGTGCCTTGGTGAATATATCAGCAGTGTTGGCCCGAGTGGCCACGTGAGCAAGACGAAGCTGACCACGCTGCTGCAACTCTCGAGCCAGGAAGTAACGCAGAGCAATGTGCTTCGTTCTGTGCTCCAGTCTGTGCTCCTGACACAAGGCAATGGCGGCCTTGTTGTCGACGTACAGCACTGGAGGAGAACGAGGCCGCTCTCCCAGGTCGGTCAGCAGGTAGGTGAGCCAGCGTAACTCCTGTGCAGCCATGGCTGTGGCGTAGATCTCAGCCTCACAACTGGAGCTGAGAACAGAAGACGAGCGTGTAGACCGCCAAGAAACAGAGCCGGAGCCAAGGCTGAAGGTGTAACCCTGTGACGACCGCTGCGTAGCCTGGTCGTCAACCCAAGAAGCGTCTGAGTGCCCAGTGTGGACAACTGGACCCCGCCCTCCAAGCACGAGCCCCATTCCCGATGTACTGCACAAGTAGCGCAGTACCCTCTTAGCAGCATCCATGTGCACCTTTCGGTGCCAACCAGGAGCCACGTAGCGAGCCAGAAGGCCAAGAGGGTACGCAAGGTCAGGACGAGTGCAGGTCATCAGGTACATGAGGCAGCCCACTAGCTCTGGGTAAGGACCACTCGGCTCTACGGACTCGTCCGAAGGTGGAGCTGAGAGCGAGTGACCTGTAGCCAGAGGAGTGGCCTGTGCCGAGGACCAGGTGAAGCCGAAGCGCTGAAGGACCTGCTGCACCATGTGTGACTGAGTCAGGGTGATGGTGTGGCGTGCTCTCTCCCGGGTGATCTGCAAGCCAAGGTAACTGCGCAGCTCACCCAGGTCAGTGCACGTGTGTCTCTTCTGCAGCTCCGACTTCACCAGGGCGAGAGCCTCAGTGTTTGCAGTGGCAAAGACCAAGTCGTCGACGTACACGAGGATGTAGAACGGTGGCAGCGAAGTGTCGGTGCGCAGATACAGCGACGGGTCAGCAGTCGACGGAGCAAACCCAAGAGCAGCAAGTGTCGTCCTTAGTGTGTCGTGCCACTCACGTGGCGCCTGGCGGAGACCGTAGACCGGCCGCCGGAGACTCCACTGGGTACCAGGAGGGAACGACCCAGTGGAGCCAGGAGGGCGGCGCAGCCAGATCTCCTCGTGCAGGCTGCCCTGTAAGAAAGCTGTGCTGAAGTCAAGAGAGTGAAGCTCGTAGTCACGCTGAGCCGCAACGTGCAGCAGTACCCGAAGAGTGGTCATCTTCGGGGTGGGGGAGAAGGTGTGGAAGAAGTCAACTCCCTCTCGCTGACTGAAACCTCGAGCAACATAGCGAGCCTTGAAGACAGGTGGAGAACCTGGCGGCCGCTTCACCCTGAAAATCCACATGCCATCGACGATGTTCGCCCCAGGAGGGGGAACCTCGTCGACGTAAGTGCCTGTGGACTTCCAGGATGCCATCTCTGCGTCCATGGCTGTCTGCCACCGAGAGGAGTACTCACCCGCGATCGCCTCAGCGTAAGAGCGCGGGGTCGGGATGTCTGGAGCATCCGGGTCTCCCTCAGGGGCAAGCAGCATGGACACGAGATGAGGCGCAGCGGCTGCAAGACACTCAAGGTCCTCCTGTCTGTCCTCAAGGACGTCCGTGCCAAGAGCACACTCACCCCCGACGGACGGAGGACTGACAGACTCAGACTCAGCAACAAGACTAGCAGCGTAGTCTAGACGACAGGCAGCAGCAAAGTTAACCAGCTCAGCGACAAAGGCAGACGCAGCAGCAGACTCAAACGACGGGTCAGTGGCAACAGTGGCTAGCAGATGCGTAACAGTAGGGTGCTCAGCACGAAACCGGTCAGACTCAGGGTCCGCAACGACAGGGAGAGAAGACGCAGGAGGAGACGGCAGAGGAACACGCTGCGGAGGAGAGGAAGGACGACGGACTACGAGGTGGGTGTTGGGGACAGCCGGCTGACGCGGACGAGGAACACGACGACCGGAACAACCAGAATGGACAGGCGAGACAGGACGCGACGCAGGCTCACGACGCTCAGTAAGCCCCCCTGTCTGCTCAGTGTAAGGAGAAGGAGCAGGCAGCGGTGAGCCAGGCTGTGACGGAAGATTAGTAGGCGAAGGGAGACTAAGGACCTGGCGAAGCACAGAGTCAGGCGGTGGCTGAGACGACGGAGACGGCGGAGCGAAGAACAGGCGCGGCTGTGCAGTGACACCAGCACCAGCAGCTCCAGTACCCCCAGCAGCTCCAGCACCTCCACCAGCTCCAGAACCCTCAGCGCCAGCTCCTCCAGGCTCAGCTCCACCAACAGCAGCACCCCCAGAACCGGCACCTCCAGTCCCAGGGTCTCCAGCCTCCGTGTCTCCAGCAGCAGCACCCCCAGACCCAGGGTCTCCAGCAGTAGCACCCTCAGGCTCAGCACCTCCAGCCCCAGCAGCTCCAGTACCTCCAGTACGAGCACCTCCGGGACCAGCACCACTCCCAACTCCAGTGACGTCAGCAGAAGTACCTTCAGCGGCGGAGCCCCGAGCTCCAGAAGCGCGACCCTAACGGCGACCGTACCATTCGTGCAGCTGCTGTGAGGTGAGAGGCACACGCGGACGAAGGCGGCTACTCCAAGGAGACCGCGTAATAGCAGACTCAGAACCCTCAGCGCCAGCACCCGCAGCAGCTCCAGAACCTCCAGCGCCAGCACCCGTAGCAGCTCCAGAACCTCCAGCACCAGCACCCTCAGCAGCTCCAGAACCTCCAGCTCCAGCGCCACCAGCGCCAGCACCTCCAGCAGCTCCAGAACCTCCAGCTCCAGCACCCTCAGCAGCTCCAGAACCTCCAGCAGAAACAACTCCAGTAGCAGAGTCACCAGCTCCAGCGCCTCCCGCAGCAGGGCCCCTAGCTCCAGCAGCGCGACCCTGACGGCCAACGTACCACTCAAGCAGCTGCTGTGGGGAGAGAGGGAGTCGACGACGAGAGTGCAGCGGCGACGCACCAGCGGAGCGACTACGGAGACGGCAGCGCCAGGGAGACTGCTCACCAGACGCCTCAGCGCCCCCAGGTGCAGCACCCCCAGACTCAGTACCCCCAGGCTCAGCACCCCCAGACTCCTCACGCCCAGGCTCAGCACCTCCAGTCTCCGCACCCCCAGGCTCAGCACCCCCAGGCTCCGCACCCCCAGAAGCAGCACCCCGAGCAGGACCACCCTCAGCAGGACCTGAGTCACCAGTGACCTCAACCGGCGCAGTCAAGGGAGGAGGGTCTACCTGAGACACACCTGAAGGAGCAGGACCGGGAGCGGGGAGGGGGTCTACCTGGGGAGCACCTGGAGCGAGGAAGAGCGGCGGGGGGGTGAGAGGGGCAGTGCGGTAGGGGAAGAGATGGTAAAAGGGAACCGACTCGTCGAACGTGACGTCCTGAGAGGGGAAGACACGGCGCGAGGTGGGGTGGAAAAAACTGCCAGCCAGGCGCGTCAGGGACAAAGCCAAGGAAGACACAGGGAACAGCGCGGGCGGAGAGCTTGTCCGCGGTGGTATCGCGGACAAAGGCACGAGCACCCCAGACCCGGAAACGCGACGCATCGCCAACCTTCCCCGTCCACAGCAGTGTGGGCGAGGTCTCCGGC